TTTTGCTCAAGGCTAGCATTCTACCACTTGAGGCATGGCGCCACTTCCAGTTTTCTGGTGGTTAATTGGAGATAATATATATTTATATATAACACATAATAATGTGTATTATATATTATGTAATAATATGTTTATATTTGCACAAAAGGGTTTCAATTCAACATGTCAATTTGACATGTGCCTTTTTAAAAGTTTTTATTTAAATTTTAAAAAATCATTTAAGTAATTGTACAAAGGAGTTGCCATTTAACAAAGCAGTTTATGAAGACAATATATCTTGATCGGTATCACCCCTTTCAACCTCTCACATCCCTCCCCTCATCACCCCCTCCCTCCCTTTTCTTTTTCTTTTTTTGTTGTTGTTGGTTGTGGGGCCTGAACTCTGGGCCTTGGCGCTGTCCCTCAGCTCTTCAGCTCAAGGCCAGTGCTCTGCCACTTGAGCCACAGCACCACTTCCAGTTTTCTGAGTGGTTTATTGGAGATCAGAATCTCACAGCCTTTCCTGCCCGGCTTTCCTGGCTTTGAACCGCGGTCCTCAGATCTCAGCCTCCTGAGTAGCTAGGATCACAGGCGTGAGCCACCGGCGCCCGGCCCTCCCTCACTTTCCTTAATTTTGTAGGGCGTATATTGGCTTCTTGTTGCATTTTCTCCCCCTTCTCTTCCCTTGTCTTCCCCTTTCCCCTTGACCCCACCTTACCCCTTTCGAGTACCCACTTCCTGGTGTTTTATTTTGCTGACCTTTGATTTGGGCTTTCTAAGAAGTTACACCATTTGAGATCTCCCTCAGATTTCTCATCTTTCAGTTAATACAGTTTGTATGCACTTGCGCATCACCCAACGTGTTTACCTATGAGTTTTGACTTGGACAATAACAAAAATAAACTGGACCTATCATTATAAAATATAGAGACAGGGGGAGCCTCAGGCAAGGCCTGGTTTATTTGTTTGTCTATATTTCTTATAGGCAAAGAATCTTGAATCTTTACTGCTAAAGAGTTTGTTTTGGTGCCGCTACTGGGGCTTGAACTCAGTCTCATTTAGTTTTTTTTTCCACTAAAGGCTGATGCTTTACCACTTGAGCCATACCTCCACTTCTGGCTTTTTAGTGCCTGATTGGAGCTAACATTTTCTTCCCAGGCTGGCTTTGAACTCGGATCTTCTCAGTGTCCTGAGTAGACATGAACTACGGGTGCCTGACTTGAAGATTATTCTTGGCAGATTCCAGTCATAGCTCCAGGATGTTACTATTGATCCCTGGTGGGGGGGCAGGGGGTGTCTTCCAAACTGGAATATAATAGAGAAAGTCTTACCTTTCTACCAATTCTGGAATTGACATGGGCTGTTTGCCATTCTCAACTCAGAATTGTAATGGATGAGCCATGTACTTGACTTCAGCTAATCTGTCCTTGACTGTGGCACTATGGATGGTGTAGTTGGATCTAACTAGATGGGATCCTGTTAATTGAATGAGAAGGGAAATGGCCAGTGTCGTTGTACTGGTATTAATAGAACTAGGTTTGGATCATTGAGGTGGACTTTTCTTTATTGTTTTTGTAGCCAGTACATCTCATGTTCTTGAAATATTAGGGTTAGATTCTGTTTCAGGTTGAGATGCTCATGACTGTTTTCTGCTTTCTGTCTTTTGGACATGTGGTTACTCTCTTGACCAATGACTTGGTGTTAGGGGGAGGGAGGAGAGGGTGGGGAGAAGGACATGCATTGAACATGTGGATTTGAGACCCTCTAGAGCTTTCTCTTCCCCTCTACAAGCATTTGAATTGGAGATGAAGAGTCTCACTGACTGACTTTGAATGATGATCCTCAGATCTCAGCCTCCGGAGTAGCTAGGATCTCAGGCGAGAGTCCATATTGAGTAGATTCTTGTTAGGCATGTAGGCATGAGCAAGGACGTGGCTCAGTTGGTAGAGTGCTAGCCGATGAGCAAAAATATCAGGTACCAAGTTTGAGTCCTGATCTTGTACAAGGAGGGAGGGAGGGAGAGAGAGAGAGAAAGAGAGAGAGACAGACAGACAGACAGAGAGACAGACAGAGAGAGAGAGACAGAGAGACAGAGAGAGACAGAGAGGAGAGAGGAGAGAGAGGAGGAGCATGAACAAGAAATAAATTTGTACTGGGAAAAGCTATGAAGATCGTGGATTTGTTCCCATGGCTAGTTTATCTAGCCTAGCACAATATATTTATAAATCCCCTTGGATTGTTTCAGAGTTGTTCATGGAAATCTTATATTTGTATGATTCTTTCAACTTAGGAAAAAATGCTTTTCCATTCCTGACCTCATCTCTACAACAGTCCTATAAACATAAAGATAAAGATAATTATCAGTGTGATTTTTCCCATGGGGTGGAGCGAATGAGGTTAACCACTGCTGTGATCTCTTTGATGATTTGGCAGTGTAATTTTTCTATTTCCTTTATTGTTTTAAGCAATAAACTTAAGTTGTATATAAATGAGGAGACCTCATTGTAAGAACCAAAAAACAATACTTTCTATTTTACTAATGTTTTATATGATGGGCCATCTTGGAAGAATTTGATACTTTTCCTTTAGGATGTAGCTATCTAGACTATTAATGTTTCATATTTATTTAGTTATTTATTTTTAGCCAGTCATGGGGCTTGAACTCAGGGCCTGGGGCTCAGGGGTAATGCTCTACTACTTGAGCCACAGTTTCTATTTTTGACTTTTTATTTATTTACTTTTTTTTTGGGTGGTTAATGAGATTAAGAGTTTCCCAGACTTTCCTGCCCAGGCTGGCTTCAAACTGTGATCCTCAGATCTCAGCCTCCTGAGTACCTAGGATTACAGGTGTGAGCCACCAGCACCCAGCAGCTATTCATGTTTTATTTGATAGCCCATCATGGAAGAATTAGGGTGTGGATGTCTAAACTGTTTGTGTGCCCTGATCTTTAGCAACAGCCAAGACATCTCTGAAGGGGAACTGGAAGAGGGCACAAGGAAGCTGTAAACCTACACCCAGGGGCCTAGCACCTGGCCTCCAACTGAGGCTCCAACAGAAGAGGAAGAGATACACAGACCATTTCCTTTGGTTAAAAAGTGGCAGCAAGCTTGAGCTGGAGGGAGAGAGGGAGGGAGGGAGAGAGAGAGAGGGGAGAGGAAGAAAACAAAAGTATCTGGCAGAGGTAGAGAACTGGGATAGCACCTTGGTGAAAAATGGGAGCTGTAGCAGCAGAGACCCTGAATTCCAGGCTCTTCCACATAGAGGCTGTGTTACTGTGTGTAAGTTACTTGATCTCTCTGAACCTTGGGTTCCTCTCCTCTAGATTGGGGTTAGTAGCCCCAATTTCGTAAGGATGTCCTGTGGATAAAACGAACTGGAAAATGTCAAGCTCTCAGAACAGTAGATAAATTACCAGTTATTATCAGCCATGATCTGAACCTCTCATCATCTCTCACTTGTGACAATTAAAAGATCTCCTTGCTGGTCTTCTTCATACCTAATCTTCCTTCCCCGCCTCCCCTCTTTGTGGCAGTCACAGGGCTTGAACTCAGGGCCTGGGCACAATTGGAAGCCAGCTTAGGCAGACAAGTCTGTGAGACTTCATCTCCAGTATACCAGCCAAAAGCCAACAGTGCCCCGAGGTGTGGCTCCCAATTGCAATCCTCAGATTTCAGCCTCCTGAGTTTCTGGGGTTGCAAGCATGGGGCGCTAGTGCTTGGCCAAGATTAAATGCTCAACATGTCCAAATTAAGGTCTTCCTCATACACTCTTGGGCAGCACCGTAGCAATGGAAACACGTTTTCTTTTGGACTGATTTTAAAACAAAGCAGATGGATCCAAAGTTGGTCCAGGAGGGGGCACCCTTGTTCCTTGCTCCTAGTCCAAGAAGTACGGGGGATTTGCATCCTCTGTGGCCAAGTTACAAGAGAGCCGGTAGAAACACTGTCACCGCTCTATCGTCAAGCTAAATATATAGAATATCGTCATAGTTTCCGTTCCTCATGATCACGTTAGCCCACAAAACTGTCTCTTCATCTGTATGGAATGCATAATTCCTGCTATGGTTTTGGCTGTCAAATGTTGCACTTTTATTAATTAATTTTGATGCCACTACTGGACCTTGAATTCAGGGCCTGGGCACTGCTCTTAAGTTGTTTGTTTGTTTTTGTTTTTGCTCAAGGCTAGGGCTTTACTACTTGAGCCACAGCTCCACTTCTGGCTTTTTGGTGCTTAATTTCCTGCCCAGGAAAGTCCTCAGACCTTAGCCACCTGAGTAGCTGGAATTACAGGCCTGAGCCACTGGCACCCAGCCCCTCTCATGCTTCTAAAACCTGCCCAGGCAGCTGGGCACCTTGAATCTTGATAAAAGTTCAAAGCAGCTAGTCACCACATGCTATGTGTTCTCCAAACGAACAACAGTGATCACTGGAGCTTAAACAAGGTGTTTATCATGTGTTCCAATGACAGTACATGCACAATGAAGTGTTTCCATTAGGCTGGTACAAAAGGAACCTATGATTTTGTATATTCGTATTAAAAAATTACATGTAAATATATAGAAGGTAAACCTGGGTTAATAGCGGTTTGTGCGGAAGCGTCTGGAAATTTCAATCGATCCAGGTTCAGTATAGATAAACCAGGCCCTCAAGGTTCATGCCTGTAATCCCAGCAACTCAGGAGACTGATAGGAGGAACACTGTTTGAAACCAGCCCAGAAAGGCAAGTTCACGAGGCTCTTATCTCCAGTTAATAACCAGCCCCCCCCCCCCCCATACAGCTGGAAGTAGAGCTGTGGTGCAAGTGGTAGAATGCCAGCCTTGAGCGTGAGTGATTTTATGGTCCCAAGTAGTACTTTGGCCTAAAGGCAGGATCATGTCATCTTGGGGAAAGTAAAAGTCTTGAGTCACATAGAGTGAAAGATTTGGAAAGATGGCATCCCTTAGAGTCAGCCTTGTGTGTTTAGAGCCATCACAAGTAATGCCCCTGCCCCCAAACTAATAAGATGCTATTAATTTTACAGGATAATCGTATCCACACATCCAAGTACAACATCCTCACCTTCTTGCCCATAAATTTATTTGAACAGTTCCAGAGAGTGGCAAATGCCTATTTCCTTTTCCTTCTGATATTGCAGGTAATGTTTATGTTGTAATTCGTCATTTTATGTGTGGTAAAATCGTTCACATAATTTGATTAAAAAGTAATTTACTAAGCTACATGTTCACGAGTAGGTAAAAATCATCCTTATCAGATTGTGTGTGTGTGTATGTATGTATGTATGTGTATATATGTATGTATGTATGTGTATTGTGATGGTCCTGGGGCTTAAACTCAGGGCCTGGGTGCTGTCCCTGAGATTCTTTTGCTCAAGGCGAGTGTTCTAGCACTTAAGCCACAGTTCCACTTCTAGCTGTGTGTATGTGTGTGTGTGTGTGGGGGGGGGTTAATTAGAGATAAGATGGCCTTTTCTGCCTGGGCTGGTTTTGAATTGTGATCCTAAGCTCTCAGCCTCCAGAGTAACAAGAATTACAAGCATGAGCCATCAACACCTGGTGAAAACCCCATATATATGTGTGTGTGTGTGTGTGTGTATACACATATATATACATATATATGTATATATGTATGTATATATGTATGTATATGTATATATGTATGTATGTATATGTATATATATATAAGCTGAGAGCATCGCACCAGTGTTACTGTCTCTTTTAGGTGGATGGCTTTAGAGGTATAGGTCCAAGAGTCAAAGAGACAAAAGTTTCTGTTTTATCATTGTGTGTTGTCAGTCCAGCTCCTTGACCTTTCAGCTACACCATTTATACGACAGGTCGATGATGTCCAGGGCTGCACAATGTCTGGCTCTGGGGTACCAGTCTTAATGTGCTCCATGCACACGGTGGGGTTAGCATGTTGTTCACATGGAATACGGGCCCTATGGGACTTGTACAAAGCAGTACTAGGACAAAATCAAGCCCTTCTAAGAATCAAATGGCGTCGTATATGGAAAATACCCATATACTTGTCTGTTACCGGGTAGATTACTCAAAAGGTCTCTTTCTGGGGGTGTTTGGGATGGAGGGAGACTGGTGTCACAAAGGAGTTGGGAAAACTATGAAAAGATAAGATGAGAAGCAAAAAAAAGTGATATTCCCAACCTAGGGAAAGGCCGCGCCATCTGAGAAACCTATTTCTCAGCTTGCTTTAGAATTTTTATGTTTTCGGCAGACAGTTTGAAAATGGGTGGAACAGTTCTTGTGTTCCATGGGTTTTACGATTAAATGGAAGCCCTCAAATTGTGGACAGTCACTCAACATGTGCACCAGTAATTCAATATAAACCCGTTATTTCCTGCCACATCTTACAGGATCATATGGCAGAGTTTAGAAGGTGTATTTCTGAATTAAAAAAATAGACTTAAATGATTTGAAATGGTTGTTTCAGCTAATTCCAGAAATCTCCTCTTTGACCTGGTTCACCACCATCGTGCCTTTGATCCTGGTTATAACCATGACCGCTGTCAAAGATGCTACTGATGACTATGTGAGTATTCGCTTACCAAAATTGCCGGGCTGGGCATCAGTGGCTCACGCCTGTAATCCTAGCTACTCAGGAGGCAGAGATCTGAGGATCACGGTTCAAAGCCAGCCCGTGCAGAAAAGTCCATGAGACTCTGATCTCCAATAAAAACCACTAGAAAACCGGAAGTGGCGCTGTGGCTCAAGAGGTAGAGTGTTCACCTTGAGCTGAAGAGTGCAGGGACAGTGCCCAGGCCCAGAGTTCAAGCCCCACAACTGACAAAAAAAAAAATCGCTGGAAGTGGTGTTGTGGCTTAGGTGGTAGAGCGCTAGCCTTGAGCAAAAAAGAAGCTCAGGGACAGCAGCATCCAAGTTCAAGCCCCAGGAGTATTCTTCCTTCTCCTCCTGCTCCACCCCAAAACGGAAGATGGAGTTAAATTCTAAACGAAACTCTTCTGTTTATTTCCTCCTTTTTATTTGTTTGTTTGAAAAACAAGCATCTTAAATCCAGCAAATTATAGTTGGATCCTGGGCAATGGCATGTACCCTCAACTCCATAGCTGTCTATCTCTATGTCAATAGCTTAAGTAGGTGTTGATACTCATTTAAGCTGCTCCTCTGAGTTTGTACCCATATTTGGTTATTTATTTATTTACTTAGGGTCTGGTCGTGGGGCCTGAACTCTGGGCCTGGGTGCTGTCCCTCAGCTCTTCAGCTCAAGGTTAGCGCTCTACCCCTTGAGCCACAGCGCCACTTCTGGCTTTTTTCTTTTTGCTTATGTGGTGCTGAGGAATCGAACCCAGGGCCTCAGGCATGCAAGGCAAGCACTCTATCACTCAGCCACCTTCCCAGCCCCTGCTATTTATTTTTTTAACCTGTGCCTTTAAAGTGGATTTCTGATGCACAGAGTACAGTTGGGAACTATTGTAAATACAACCTGAAAAACCTCTGCCTTTTAATTGGAGGGTTTAACTCATTTAGGTTTAATATTATTGTGATAGTGATTAGCTTTAAATATGTCATCTTGACATTGTTTTCTGTACATCCCATTGGTTCTCTTTGTTGTTGTTTTGAGATAGATTCTCATTACATAGCTCAGGCTGACTTAAACCTCACAATCCTCCTGCCTTAGTCTGTGATGTGCTGGGGTTACAGGCATGTACTACCGTGACTGGCCCCCATTAATTCTATCTTGTCTACCCACTTTTAGATTATTTTTCCCCCTCCAGTTTAATTAGCATCAATCACGTGTACAAGGGAGTTTTATGTTGACGTGTCCATATATGTTGGCAACATACTTAGATTCACTCTGCCACTCTCCATTCTGCTTACATAAAGCATTTTAATCATTTCTTTTCTCTTTTACCGTCTCCGTTCACCCTTCCCATGTTTTGCATTTCATTTTTAAAGTCTATATTGCTGGGCACTGGTGGCTCACACCTGTAATTCTTGCTACTCAGGGGGCTGAGATCTGAGGGATCGCCGCTGTGTTGTTCAAGTAGTAGAGTCCTAGCCTTGAGCAAAAAGTGAACTGAGAGGTCAACGCACTGAGTTCAAGTCCCAGGACTGGCACGCACACATAAAAATACACACACACACGCACAAAGTATATGTTAGTTGATCAAAGGGATGTCATTATGGGAGATTATTTTCTGTGGTTCAATTTCATCGTTAATATTGGCTTAAAATATATTATTTTTTCTTATTTCTTTTTCTAGGATTTAACTTAACCATGGTCAACCTAGGGTAATCTGACTTCAAACACTGGTCCTCAATCCCCAGTCCCCTGTGTGTTAAGTGATAGAGGGGATGAGAAATGAGGCGGGCAAAGGTATTATCTCATGGAGAACATTGATACCCATTGGACACAGCCAACCAGAAGTAAGGACCGCACAGGCTAGCTTCCCAAGACACAGGACAGAATAGATTGGGTGGAGATACAGAAGAAGAAACGGAGAAGTCAAATACGGTACTCAAATAAAGTACCATTGCCATTTCTGCTGTTCTGTTGCTAGGAAGACATTGATACATCAATGAGTGGATTAATGTACCCTACCCATAAAAATTTCCAATATTATAAGTTGTTTCCACATTAACAAATGATAAATAGTTGTTATTATTATTTGTGGTACTGGGGATTGAACTCAGGGCCGTATACTCATTAAGCAAATGCTCTGTCACTTGAGTCACATCTCCAGCCCAAGATTTTTATTTGTATGTGTGCCATTACTGGGGCTTAAATGCAGGCCCTCACACTTTGACTTCAAAGCTAGTACTCTACCACTTAAGCCACAATTCTAGTTCTGGCTCTTTGAGTTTTGGCTGTTTGCTAGTTTGTTAGAGATATGTCTGCCCACACTGGCTTCAAATTGTAGCCTTCAGATCTCGACCTCTTGATTAGCTAGGATTATAGTCATGAGCCACTAGTGCCTGGTTTATCTAGACCAATTTTTATTATTTTTACTTGTAGGATTCTTTGACTTTTTTTTTTGTTGTTGGTTGTGGGGTTTGAACTCGGGGCCTGGGCGCTGTCCCTCAGCTCTTCAGCTCAAGTTTAGCACTCTACCACTTGAGCCACAGCACCACTTCTGGTTTTCTGGTGCTTAATTAGAGATAAGAGCCTCATAGACTTTCCTGCCCTGGCTGGCTTTGAACCGTGATACTCAGATCTCAGCCTCCTGAGTATCTAGGAGGACAGGCGTGAGCCAACAGCGCCCAGCGGATTCTTTTACTTTTACCTACCATTCTGTGCACCAGGCAGAGAAAAATAAGAGAATTGGGGTGGGAAGGATGTAGAAACAGAGATCTGGTTGAAGTGTTTTATAGATTATGATATCCATACAATGGTTTGCATATAAACAAAGAAAAAGCACGTTGCATTACGATTATGAAGTTATGAAATAAAAATTTCATGTCTTTGAAGCTACCCCTATTCACCTGTGTCAATAGATGAATATGCACAAATAACTGTCCCTAATTTATCCTCTTACTCTTGTGTCATTACTATGCTCATCTCTAGTGTGTTCCGTCTGATCTTGACCGTTCATGTAGAAACTCTCACTTGAATGGCTGCTAGTTGTGTTCTTCCAGAATCATATGAGATATTTACTTTACTGGAGTGTGAAAAAATACCACTTGGGCATAAAACCAAAGTCCACACCCAGCGTGGCTCAGTAGTGCATTAGGATTTTGGTTGAACACACTTGGTATTTGCTGAGATCACTTTTAACAATGAAAAGTTCCAGAGAATAAGAATCCATATTGCTACAAGTAATTTCTCCACTTCAAAGAAAATCCATAAAAAACCAAGAGTGAATGGGTACTCCAGTCAAGTATTGAGCACATATGTGAGAGAAATGGAATCCTCCCTTCCTGGTTGAAGTCCTCAAAATCCATGAATGCTTTCTTCCTCTCGGACTATATGTGGCAGAGAAAAGAGCATGTCATATGTTGAGAAGCAACTGAACCTGTGGGAACGGGAGCTGCAGTTCTAGAGTCCTTCCAATGGTGACTTTCTAGAATGGGGTTGGGAGAGGAGAGGGTTAGTTTCACTTTAGGACGTGCAGCTGGGTTGAGTTTCAAAGGAAGTATAAGCTCTAGGATAAACTGTGGTCATCTTGGATCAATGGCAATCTTGTGCGGAGAGATTGATGTAAAAACATTGTAGCTGTCCCGACTTGGGTTCACAAAGTATATCTGAACTATTTTCTCTCCACACAATTTGATGTTGCAGTTTCGCCACAAGAGTGATAATCAGGTAAACAATCGGCAGTCTGAAGTGCTCCTGGATGGCAGGTAAGAAATACATTGCTTGCATTATCGTGAAGAAGATTTCTGGGGCTCAGACTAGCTCTTTGACAATGGGTTACTTTCCCCCATTTAATGCATTAAAAGTTGAAATACAGTGCAGTGTATCTTCATGATTTTTTTTTTTTCATACTCAAGTCCTTGTGGTAGCCATTCAACTCTGACTTCAAATTTTCCGTTGTGGACTACAGATTTATCTTTTATCGCTTTTCTTTTCTTTTTCCTTCACCCGCGCCCCTACCCCCCTGCAGTTGGTTGGGGGGGCTTGAACTCAGAGCCTGAATGCTATTCCTGCGCTCTTTTTACTCAAGGCTAGTGTTCTACCACTTTGAGCCTCAGCACTACTTCTGGTTTCTGGGTGATTCATTGGAGATAAGAGCCTCATGGACTTTCCTCCTTGGGCTAGCTTTGAACCATGATCCTCAAATCTCAGCCTCCTGAGTAGCTACGGTTAAAGGTATGAGCCACTGGTGCCTGGCATTAATACTATTTAGAACTGGCCCATGTGCCATGTTTATGTATGTAGGTGTATCATGAACAATTGTTTAAAGTTTCTTTTTGAAATTTAATCATTGCTGAGGAAAATTGATACAGAGATATCTGATATATTACTGTGTCAAATGATTGCGATAAGGATTTTATGTCCCCTGAATGACTGAATTGAGAAGAGGCTATCTACTATGATGAGGATTTTTCATTCCATTCAAATCTTTTCACCAATAAAGAAATATTGTTGAGCGGGTTGCTGGTGGCTCACTCCTGTAATACTAGCTACTCAGGAGGCTGAGATCTGAGGATCGCGGTTCAAAGCCAGCCCAGACAAGAAAGTCCTTGAGACTCTTATCTCCAATAAACCACTAGAAAACTGGAAGTGGCACTGTGGCTCAAGTGGTAGAGCGCTTGCCTTGAGCTGAAGAGCTAAGGGACAGCACCCAAGCCCAGAGTTCAAGCCCCATGACCAACAACAACAACAAAAAAGAAATATAGTTGGTGGGGATAATATTAGAGTTAGAAGGGCTTTAAAACATGAACATTTATATACGGCACTGAAAACTTAGGAGGAGTAAGTCTCAAATTCCCATGAATTCTGACCCTCTTTTCCACTAATGGTAATACGTAGCAACTTAAAATTTCAGTGTGTTTGTAACTTATCATCTGGCAGTAAACTGTATAAGCCAGTGACTTGTGTATGTGAAACATTCGTGTCCATACTGGGACTTGAACTCAGGGCCTGGTGCTCTACCACTTGAATCACAGCTCTACTTCTAGCTTTTTGATAGTTAATTGGAGATAAAAGTCTCATGGTCTTTTCCTGCTCCACTTGTTTTTGAACCACAATCCTCAGATCTCAGCCTCCTGGGTAGCTAAGACTACAGGCGTGAGCCACTGACTCCTGGCTAGTCAGTCAGTCTTTGAATCAGATACTAAGCAGAATGCAATTCTTACGAGAAGCAATCATAAAACAACCACGAGCGAGAGAAATTTCAAAAAGCAATGAAGATAATCGTAATCTACTAGGTATTCTGGGCTGTAAGTAATCCTTTTAAAGGAATTAATCTCTTTCAAAATCCGTGCTGTTGGCCAGTATTGATACTGTAATGGATTCCTACCATTTATTGGCTTGTTTTAGAAAATGATGTTGAAGGCTGGGAAGGTGGCTCAGTGGTAGAGCGCTTGCCTTGCATGCCTAAGGCCCTGGGTTCGATTCCTCAGCACCACATAAGCAAAAGGAAAAAAGCCGGAAGTGGTGCTGCGGCTCAAGTGGTAGAGCGCTAGCCTTGAGCTGAAGAGCTGAGGGACAGCGCCCAGGCCCAGAGTTCAGGCCCCACAACCGGACCCCCCCCCCCCAAAAAAAAAAAGAAAAAAAGAAAATGATGTTGAGTGAAGAAAAATGATCTTGCCCTAAAAGCCTAGCTGTGGTAAGTGTGATTCTGGTTAGGACAGGATAAGCTATAAAGATGCCTGAACCCTCTGGTTTGTTTCCAGGATTAGCAGGATTTGAATTGGTGTCACTGTCCTGTGGGGTTTGAAGCATGACTTTTGGCAACGAGAGCGATTTCAGTATGAGTTTTGTGCTACTCTGGGTAATCCTGTGGTCTCAAGAAAAGTTCCTAACCTCTATTAACACCAGATTCCTCATCTGTGAAGGGGAGTGGCAGTAGGATCTCTGGCCTGGCTGGAGCCCTTGTGCAGGTTAATGGAGCTCCTGCAAAAGGCCTGGTCCAGGAGGTGCTGGATTGCCAGCATTCTCCACTACCAATTCTTTATATGATGCTGGGTCTTTGTAAGCTAATGTGGGTTAGAACACTGAGCCACTTGTGTTGTATGTCTTGATCTCAAGTCTTGAAGTTAGATGTGGTGTTTTTATGGTAAAACCAATTCTTTAAGGAACCTCTGACACTCCTATCTCCTGACTCTGAGGGATGGAAGGGTGTCAAAATAGATAGCATTACATCCTGACTCTGAATGAATGGTCCTGGCACATTTTTTTCTTGTCACTCTAATTATCCATGCAGTTTTGTGGTACTACTTAGAGTACTACAAATTGGAACGTCTATTGGGAGGCCAGGAGATTAATCCAGGGACTTAGACATTAAGAAACTTGTGACTAGATAGATCTTAGGTACGTACACTTGTTATTACTAATAGTAGTACTGATGTGATTTTTCAGATGATGACTCTTATTTTGCTTTTTGTTAATTCTTTATGAGCCAGTACCTCTGTGGTCTTTTTTTTTTTTGTCAGTTTCACGGGTGCTGTCGCTGAGCATTTTAGCCTAAGGCGAGCACTCTACCACTTGGAGCTATAGAAGCCAACTTCTGATTTTCAGGTGGTTAATTGGAGATAAGAGTCTCACAGTGTTTCTTGCCTGGGCTGTCCTTGAATCTTGATCCTCAGATCTCAGCCTTCTGAGTAGCTAGAATTTACAGGCATGAGCCACCAGTGCCCGGAAGGTTTATTTTATTAGGTTTTTTTTTTTTTAGTGTGGTGGTCCTGGGGCTTGAACTCAAGGCTTGAATCGTTCCTTAGCTTTTCGCCCAAGGCTGGTGCTAATACCACTTGAGACACAGATCTACTTCTGGCTTTGTGGCTATGTGCCAGTCATAGTGTTTGACCTCAGGGCCTGGGTGCTGTTCCTGAGCTTTTCCGCTCAAGACTGGCACTATACCACTTTGAGCCACAGTGCCACTTCTGTGCGTCAGCCTTTTATCTCTAATTAACCACCAGAAGGGCACTGGCTAGGATTACAGGAGTGAGCTACTGATGCCTGGCTTTTACATTGTTTTCATATTCTTAAATTTTTTTCTTTTGTTGGTGATGGGGCCTGAACTCTGGGCCTGGGCGCTGTCCCTTAACTCTTGAGCTCAAGGCTAGCGCTCTACCACTTGAGCCACAGCACCACTTCTGGCTTTTTCTGCTTATGTGGGGCTGAGAAATCGAACCAGGGCCTCATGCATGCAAGTCAAGTACTCTACTACTGAGCCACCTTCCCAGCACTTATATATATATATATAATTTTTAAGGCTTGTTTAAGATTCCATGCAGTGCGTGTCTAATTCATAGAGCCATTTTTCCTGTTGTTTCAGTGTTGTACTCTGCTCTCCATTTTGAAACACAACATTTGGATCTTTCTAAATTGAAGGCATTAGCCTATTCCAAAAGACTGATGTTTGTGACTTAAAAAAAAAATCACCTGGGAAGGTTGTATGAACTCATTATTTCCTACAACAGTGGAACTTGAAGTTTGACTGTTCAATGCTGTGATACTCTGAAAACCATCTTCATTAACATGTCCAGACTGGGTATTCTCATTGAACACTAGGAGGCTTCTGTTCCACTAAGTTTGGAAGTGTCTTGCAAGGGTGACTGTCAGAAAACCAAGTTCATCTCCCCCCCCCCCCCCCATGCCCCTTTTATTGGGCTGGTACTGGGGCTTGAACTCAGGGCCTTGCGCTCATTCTTGGCTTTTTTGCTTGAGGCTCATGCTCTACCACTTGAGCCACCACTTCACTTCTGGCTTTTTGCTGGTTACTTGGATATTAGTCTTTTATTTGTCTGCCTGGGTTGGCTTTGAACCATAATCCTCAGAACTCAGCCTTCTGATTAGCTAAGATTATAGGTGTGAGCCATCAGCAGCACCAGGCTAGCTGGCTTTCTTCCCTCCTTTCCTGCTTCCTTCATCTCTTTCTTCCTCTCTCTTTTTCTCTTTCTTCCTCTCTTTATCTCTCTCACTCTTTCTCTTTCTCTAGTTTCTGTTTCCTTCCTTCTATCCTTCTTTCCTTCTGCTCTTTCTCTCTTTCTTTCTCTCTCTTCCTCCCTTCCTCTCTTTCTTTCTTCCTCTCCCTTCCCTCCCTCCCTTATTTCTCTCCTTCCTTCCTCTCTTTCTTTCTTCCTCTCTGTCTTTCGTTCTCTCATTCTTTCTCTCCCTTCTTTCTCTCCTTTCCTCCCTTCTTTCTCTCCTTTCCTCCCTTCTTTCTCTCCTTCCTCCCTTCTTTCTCTCCTTCCTTCCTTCCTTCCTTCCTTTCTTTCTCCCTCCCTTCTTCCCTCTCTTCCTTCTTTCCTTCCTTCCTTCCTCTTTCTCTCTCTCTTTTTCTTTCCCTCTTTCTTACTCTTTCTTTCTCTCTCTCTTTCTCTTTCTTCTTTCTTTCTCTTTCTTCTTTCTTTCCTTCCTTCTTTCTTTCTTTCCTTCTTTCTTTTCTTTCCTTCTTTCACAGGTCCTGGGGCTTGAACCCAGAGCCTGGGAGCTATCCCTGAGCTTTTGTTCTCAAGGGGAGTGCTCAACCACTTGAGCAACAACTCTACTTCCTGCTTTTTAGTGGTTAATTGGAGATAAGGCTCTTCTAGACTTTCCTTCAACCTGAGATCCTCAGATCTCAGCCTCCTGAGTAGCTAAGATTACAGGTGTGAGCTACTGGCACCTAGCCAGGCTTCATTTCTTTTTTTTTTGTCAGTCGTGGGGCTTGAACTCTGGGCCTGGGCGCTGTCCC